AAACAAAATTAAAGTGGTTTGGATGTATTACCTTTAGCAATTTTCTGGGAATTGTATAAACTGAGAAACGAATGGATATTTTGATGTTACTGTATAAACCCATTAAGGTTTTATAGTTCACAAGCTCACAGACAAACAATTGGATATTGTAAGTTCATGAAGATGCATTGATAATTCTTTGCCACATTTCCCTTTACAAGTTATTGACCATAAGTTTTCTGAGTTTCTATAGCTTGAATAGGGACATTTGTTTCTGCTTCTCATTTTTTCATTTGTTCCTCTATTATTGCATGATGTAGTCCTTCTGGTCATTGGTGCTTTGACTCACTATAATATTCCCTTTTCGCAGTTATAGCTGCATCTTTTGCCTCTAAATTTGAGGATTTTGATTTGGTTGTTTATACATGTTACTTGGCTATAATTCTGACATATTTTTGCCATACTGCAGGTTGAATCTGAGTACCTCCCTCTGTACACTAACTATGGTCTAGGTCTTACCACTTGGAGTCCACTTGCATCAGGAGTTTTGACGGGAAAATATTACTCTGGAACCATCCCACCTAATAGTCGATTTGCATTGGAAAATTATGAGGTAAACCTATTTGGAAGTTACAATTTTGTTTGCTGAAGTATAGATTTATTATCATAATTTATATTTGGCTTAGTTAAATTTGCACTTGAGTCTCCTGTAATTTTTGGTGAATGTGCTCTCTGCATAATTCATCTTTTATCTTTGTTATCTTGCTTTATTAAAATAAAAACTTGAAGACATTCATCTGTGGGTGGCTAAGTATTTTTTATGTGAAATATATGGATGCATAGATTCTTTTGTGAAGATATATTGGCATATGCAATGCTACATTAATTTCTGTAACATGGGATAGTAATCCCAGTTTTCATTGAGTAGATAAACTAGGTTGCGAGAGAACGGACAGCACTCTCTTTCCTCCCCTCTTTTTCTGTTAAGCACTGCTTCTTTTCTTTTTTTTTTTCTTTTTTTTTCTCGTTCTTCGTTTGTATCACCCTTTACATGGTAGAATCTCATTCTTTTTGGTTTTCTCCTTAATTTTCTCTTCAATGCAATGTTCCAATCACAAGCATCCTTTTAGGATGTGACACAAAAAAGGTGAAACTCACCATTTAAAAATAACATTTTGATTTAGTTTTCTTTTCCTTCTAAATCTTCAAATTTCAGAATTTATCACCAACTTGGTTTGGGAAATGAAATCAAAGCCAGAAAATCAGAGAAGTTGGGGGACTTGGTGGCTTACATCCACCATTTGGGGACATTGATTGTCAGCATCTATACAAAAGTCCTAGTCTAGTTTTCATATCTCTTTTCTGCTCCAACCAGAGCATTTTTTATGCAAAGTTGATCTTACAACCCATGCATTTTTTCAGATTATTGAACATGCAAGTTGAATTCGTCTGATAGGCACTCCAATTTACTTAATTGTTGATTTGTGATGGGGTTTAATGTGTTATCTGTGTGTTGGTGTGTAGGTTGATTCTGTAATCATCATTGGCTCATATTCCTTATTATCTACCAGTAATATAGTTGGAATTTGCATTTTTTTTTCTTTTTTCATTTCAGTTTTTTAATTTTCATGGCTCCGAGTGCTAATTTTTGACTTAAGGAACTAACCAATAGATTTTTTTTTATTTCTTTAAAAATTAACAAAATTAATTTGAAAGTTTGGAACTTCCACATTCATTATTCTTAAAAAGATCATTTTCCTTATATATATAGATTATATGGATACTTGATCAATATATTATTTATACAAACAAACACAAAACCTTATCATTTTCTTTCCTCACTTGTGACAAAGACTACTGCAGTGGCACATTACCGCCCCAATTCTCATCTCTCGCCTTTTTATTTATCTTTTATCATATGAATAATTTATTTTAAAAAAAATTTTTTTTTTACCCCCCCCCCAAAAAAAAAAAAAGAGGTTTTTCTTTCCTTTCTTTTGTGGGAAAAACCCTCAAAGCATTAAGTAACTTGAAACCCAATTTTCATGCTTATATTTCAAAATTTCGTAAATTCAGAGAATTTATTTTTCCAAATAAAGGATGTAATCAAATTTATTAGAATGATTACTTGAGTAGAAGGTAGGATCTCTTCTATCTGAACTTGCACTCATGTTCCTCACTTAGTGTATCAATTTTATTCTCCCGCGATTTGAATTTTTCAACTGAATTCTTGTTGAAATTTCTCATGGCTTATTAACTTATTATTACTCATGGCTTATCAAATATTTGTTAGTGTGAAACTTGCCCTCATAAATGCAAAGATGCATTCGTGATCTTAAACATCAGTATGGATTATATTGAACCCCTTAGTTCTGCATTTATATCTTATCTGTATGTGTAAGTATATTTGTATATATTGATATGTATTTCTTAGATTTTGCATGGTAGATATGGTTTTGGTGACAGAAATGAGGCTGGAGAGAGTATCTTAGATTTTGGTTTGGTTTGGTTTGGTTTGGTATGGATATGTATTTCTTCTTTATCCAAACTTTTTTTTTTCTTTTTCTTTTGATTATGACAATTGATCTGTTTCATTTCCAGGATATCATGGAAGAGCCTTGTGTTGCTGCTGATGGGTACACTTACGATCGCAAAGCTATACAGACATGGGTATCTTAGATTTTGGTTTGGTTTGGTTTGGTTTGGTATTGATATGTATTTCTTCTTTATCCAAACTTTTTTTTTCTTTTTCTTTTGATTATGACAATTGATCTGTTTCATTTCTAGGATATCATGGAAGAGCCTTGTGTTGCTGCTGATGGGTACACTTACAATCGCAAAGCTATACAGACATGACTTGAGGAGAATGATAAATCCCCAATGACAAATTTGCCATTGCCAACTAGGAATCTAATTCCAAATTATACACTTCTTTCTGCTATTAGTGAGTGGAAATCTGGAAAACAATGACATCGTTTTGTTTGTAACTTTTTTTTTTTTGGTGGGGTGGGGGTAGAATTTCTTAGAAGAATTATTCCTTTTATTTAGTTGGATTTTGTTCCAAATATGAAGGTTTTAAATTATTAGAAATATGTATATAATAATTTGAAATGATAGGATTGTGATGAAACAATATGTACAGGTTGCTGATGAACAATAAGAATGTTTCGTGTGTTGCAAGTAGAGAGAATGATAGCTATAAGGTGCTTGAATGAGAATACTTGGTGCTTACATGATGCCTGTTGTCAATACTTGGGTTGGTGGATGATCATCACGATGATAGCTGCTTCTATTATTTTCTTTTTCTTTTCTTTTCTTTTTTTTTTCCCCTTTTTTTGTTGAATTAGAAAGGAAATTACATTGAAGTAAAAAAAAAAAAAAAGGTTCATACAAGGAACTATTTTACGCTAAGAAGGGAACCTAATCTCTCAGATAATAAAAGAAAATACAAACTTGACAATAAAATTAGTTTCTCTACGAGCAAATATGCCTCAGAAATTACTGTTAGTTGTAGGCACTTGTTCAAACAAAATTTGGTTTGTTTAGTTATTGGCTTTCCGCTTGCAAAGATGTGTAGTGTTTTACATGAATTAGATTCAATAATTAACCATTGGGTGTTAGCTTGAATAGTCCAAATTTCAGCTGTATTGTTACTTATACCAATGGGATATTCGAAAGCTTAAATGCAGTGACCAGTATTATCTCTAAAGATGCCACCAATGCTTGCTCGACCAGGGTTACCTTGACAAGCACCACCCGTGCTGAGTTTGTTAACCGAGAGTGTGTACTTCAAAAGTGTTCATCAGAATAGAAAGTGCAAACTTAGCAGCATATGATATCTTGTGAAGGTGCAAAGGTTGATTTTCAAGAAGCATTTTATTCCTAGTTGTCCACATTTGCCAAGAGTAAGAAAAGTTTAAGTGAAGCATGATTGGTAAGGTTTAGATTTAGCCGAAATGATAGTGCCATTAGAGAAATAATTGGATTTAAACATCAAAGCCCATAAAGATTCAGAATGTCTCAATAAGTGCCATCCCAACTTCATCATGTAGGGCTGGTTAAGCATCGTTAGGTTTTAATGCCTAATCCTCCATAATTAATAGGGCGACAAACCGTGGACCAAGCTAATGTACTTCGTCGATAATATCCCAAAATGTTGATTTAGAAACCAGTGACCTGTTTCTAGCAATTGATAAATTGAATACATGCATCTACCTAGTTGAAGACAACAATCTAATTCTGCAGAATATGATACAGTTATTTATATCTCTGAAGATGCCACCAATGCTTGCTCGACCAGGGTTACCTTGACAAGCACCATCCGTGTCGAGTTTGTTAACCGAGAGTGTGTACTTTAAAAGTGTTCATCAGAATAGAGAGTGCAAACTTAGCAGCATATGATATCTTGTGAAGGTGTAAAGGTTGATTTTCAAGAAGCATTTTATTCCTAGTTGTCCACATTTGCCAAGAGTAAGAAAAGTTTAAGTGAAGCATGATTGGTAAGGTTTAGATTTAGCCGAAATGATAGTGCCATTAGAGAAATAATTGGATTTAAACATCAAAGCCCATAAAGATTCAGAATGTCTCAATAAGTGCCATCCCAACTTCATCATGTAGGGCTGGTTAAGCATCGTTAGGTTTTAATGCCTAATCCTCCATAATTAATAGGGCGACAAATTGTGGACCAAGCTGATGTACTTCGTCTATAATGTCCCAAAATGTTGATTTAGAAACTAGTGACCAGTTTCTAGCAATTGATAAATTGAATACATGCATCTACCTAGTTGAAGACAACAATCTAATTCTGCAGAATATGATACAGTTATTTACAGTTAATCTCATGAGCCACTGCCAGAGAGAGCAGAGAAAGAGAGAGATTATGCATAATTTATATATTAATTGAAAACTTAAATCAAGTATAGTTATGCACAATTTATATATTAATTGCAAACTTCAGTCAATGAATCGAATGTACAAATATTTGTTTGACTAGAAGGGATTAGAAAAGCTTAATAGGAACCTGTCCAATTAGAGAATATAATACATGGGATTTGGGAGCTTGAACGAACGGATGGAAACTGATGAACCCAAAAGATCGCTCCATTGGTCTCCAGAGTTGCCCAAAATCCGGTATCCCTCTTCCACCATCTCATTCCTCTTCTCCGACTTGTATATTATCGCTAGCTTCCCATGGTCCTCAGTTGCTCTGCACGGTTTAAGACACTTGAAATTTAGGAAAAATATGCAACAAAGGGGACCATCTCTAATTTAATATTAAAAATAAAAACCATATTTAAATTGGAGGTTTAATTCCCCATCAAAGAAGGCCCATAAAATTTTATTTATTTTATTTATTTATTTTTGTTGATAAATCAGAAGGCTCATCATGTTCACCCTTCCATCATTGAAAATTAATCTGTGGCCCAAAAAACACATTAGACAAGATCATAAGGAAATTGAATTCATCCTATGAGAGGGACAAGTTAGTCACTCTTTAAAAAAATTGGCAAAAGTTGCCTTTTAGCATTGAGTAAAATTGAAATAACTTCCTTTATAAAACTAATGCTATTAAAGCAGATGAATATATTCTATAGACCATCACATCAGTGTAACATTTGAGGTACAATTTCATAATATGAGTAGTGACAATTAACTAGCTCCTAATATCAAATCTTCTAGGAAAAAATTATTACTGTTAGATCACACAAGGTAGGGCTGTAAAGGAATTGGCTATGGGCTAGCTTTAGTTGAGTCGAATTCAATTGAAGAAGAAACAAATCATATTGGAATTTAATTTACATCATTAATTTGGCCGTTAATTCAACAATTGTTGCCACATTCATGAGTCTAGATTTGGTTTGCAATATATTTTCAACAGGACTTGACAGAATTATCAAGTCACAAGAACCAAAGAACGAAAACAAGGATGTTTGTGTGTAAAAAAAAAAAAATCTTTTTCAAAACATGATTTAAGAGGTAATATATGATGATTCAAACATACATGTGCCAATTATCCATAATTTCCACATAAATGATCAAAATCATACTTGACATAGCAAAACCCAACATGTTTAGGCATGCAAGTAAGGTTCTTTTCTTAATTCTTGCCTTTCTTTCTTTATTTAATTTTTTTTTTTTTGTCATGTGTATCATGCTTTTAATTAAATTTAAGGTTTTTTAAAGTTATCTTCCAAATTTGAATCATAAATTTACAGAGTCAAAGGAGAAAAAAAAAAAAAAAGAAGAAGAAGAAGAAGAAGAAGATAGCAAACCATATTTACCGGAAACCTTTTCTTATGATGGAATTTTGTATTCTGTAAACCCTATATATGAGAAAATTCTAATAAAACCTAAGGAACCATTTTCATGTTTATTTCCCAAACTTCTATGTTCCAAACTTACTATTGATTTCTAGTAACAGACATTAATACCACACATCAAAAAGAAAAAACCCTAAAGCCTATGACTAGTCAAACATCATCATTCCTCATGTGTCAATAAGGCTCTGCATAAATCAGAGGCCAGTTCTAAAATTCAATTATGATCTCATTAAAAACAGTCTATAAAATATGGGCTCTAACCTAAAATAATGACATATAGAAAAAGAAATTACTAGATCATTGTTTTGTATACAATCATTTCAATATGATTCAAAGACCCACATCAGAAAGGCATTGTTAACTAGAACTTCATACCCTAATGTAGTGATGAGGAAAAATTGGAAAGTTTGATTTTGAATATAAGATTTGAAAATTGGAACACTTCCAATCTAGGTCTAGAAAGTATAGGAACATTATCTCTGTGATATATTCTTATAAATGTGACATGAAATTTGGGATGCTTTGCAAATTTTCTAAGTTTCTGAGCTATGTAACAATTTTTCATTTTTGTAATTCCCCTGATGTATACTAAAATCCTAGCCAACAAAGACTGATAACAAGTTTGTTCATTTGAATAATTCTACAAGAAGATAAATTCACTTTGAAAATCAAAGAAGATGTATAGCATCTTAAACAATAAAAATAGAGTTTGCAGTAAAAAATTTAGATATTAATATCTGTAAAATAGAATTGACTAGATCAATAAAATTGCAATAAAACAGAAGTCATTCAAGACAATACTTCTATGATATGTGAGTTTGTTCATTCAAACTAAGATTTCATGAATGTAATGCTGATATTAAACATATGTTGCTTAACAAGAAAAGGTTGTACCAAGTGCACACGTTTTTCTTAATAAAACAAAAAATACATTTGTTTTTTTCTTTTTTTCTAGAGAACCCAAAATGTTAGCCACTAGCAATAGTTGATAGTTGAAAGATGCGCAAAGCTAATAAGAAAATTATAATGATCTATCAAGCAAAATAAAAGGCATTACATCAAACAAGTTTATCCTGTTAAATCATAAACATAACAAACCCTATCAGCAATCTATGACAAAGAACAGTTTGAAAACTAACCTCAATATGAGCTTGTCCCAATCCTGAAAGCCCGAATTGATCAAATTTGCAACAGTAACACCTCTTTGCTGTTCACTGCGCCCGGTAAGCAAGAAAACCTTGAATCCCAACTTCAGAACCTCTTCATAAAGCTTCAAACTGGACTCTATTGGAGGTGTCATAGCCTTGTCAACCCACTTATCAACCTCCACACCATCAAAAACCTCTAACCTACAAAATTCCACCAAGAACCCATCTCAGAATTCAATCAATTTCTCATAACTACCCATCTCCCATGCTCAAATGGATTTCCTTCAGACCCAATAAGGCCAAAGGGTTAATTTTACGTTTTATCCCTTAAACTATCACCAATTTTTCTAATTTATCCCTAAATTATTAATTTATCTATTTAGTCTTTAAAGTTTATAATTTCAGTTCATATGAGACGATTGGAAAAATCAGTAGTAATTGACACCTAATTTGATGGGTAAAAAAATCATTTCATAATTTGAACAAATTAAAGCATACCATTGAACATTGATTTATGTTGTCCGAATTGTAAATGTCAAAGCATCCGACTCAAAACCAATTGACAAGGGCTTCTCAAGTATATCAACCAAGCTTGGTTGGGTTATAGAGACAATGGACAGGTCTAACAGTAATATTCTCCTTTTGCCTATCAAATTAGGCTTCAACGGTTACCGAGTTGTACAATCGTTTTCAATCAAATCACATAAACTGAAATAATAAATTTTAGGTACTAAATAAATAAAAGTGATAATTGAGGGATTAAAAAAATATATATTGTAGCTTAGGGGATAAAGGCAAAATCAACCGGCCAAATCAAGAATTAAATTTGAAAATTAGAAATTGCATTTAGTCCATTCTTTATCAACATTTAAGCAGTGTTTGGATGGAGGGAAAAGAAAAGTGCAGAAAAAAGTGAATTGAAACACAACCCAAAAGCATAGCTAATGCAATTAAATCGAAAATTTAAGAAAATCTGAAGAACATTACCCAAAACCATGATCAGCATAGTAAGGAAGATTCGAAAGCAGAGTCTCATCGATATCAAATACCCAAGCATCCTTCGCATCTTCACCCAATTCAACGCTCTTCGCATACTCTAGAGCCTCTTTCAATCTAATATAGAAGCATAGAAATCAAGTAATGACATCTCCATAGAAGACAAAGAAACAGCAAAGTGAAAGCAATTAAAGGAATGTGATATGACAGAACCGATGTTAATTTTGAATGAGAACAAATATCATATATTCATTCTTTACGGTTACGGTTTTGAAATCAAAGCCCCAATGGCACAACTATCTTGGGTGGCTATGGATATTAATTTTGACTGATAAAAAAAATTAATAACAGATATTCAATGGTTAGGGTTTTGAAATCAAAGCACCAATGGCACATTAAGATGAAGCTTAGAGTTAGCAACAAACCTGAACGACGGAAAAGAGTTCTCGAAAAAATTCGATTCGACTGGAAGGAAAGGGAAAAGACGATGACTAGGTCTTTGGTCACAAACCCATGGTGAAGACGTCCAGAGAGTGAGAGCTTGCGAAGAAGATGTCGACATGGCTGAAGCCCGGATCGCCAACGAGGCTGGTGGTCCTTGGAAGCTTCAGCTATGGCGGAAGAGAAGAGAGAGGAGAAGAGCCAACAAGAGGGCCAAACACGACTGATTCAATTTTGTTTCCCCTTCTAACCTGTTACACAGGTTGCCTATTTGAGAGTTAAATTATTTAAGTAATTTAGTTATGACCTGGTTATGAGGTAATATGGTATAAATAAATAACTGAATATAACTAAGTTACGAGTCAATATGATAGTGGTTATGACTAATATGATATTGGTTATGACATAAAATCATATAAGTTCATAACTAAATGTATGGTACATCTAAGTGTACCATAGCATCACCCTGTAACTGTAAATGTATATGTATATGTATATGTATATATATAATTTTTTTTTCTTTATTTATCATAAATCTCCATGATTGAAAGATTGAAAGAAACAGAGAAATCGATCAATGATGGAGAAGATGATCAAAGTGGGGTTTTGTTGATAGTGGAGATGTGATTTGAAAAATGGGAGTCTGAAAAATGAAAAAAGTGATGTTTTTCTTGGTTCTCTCTCTCTGTGGTGTGTTGATTCAGTAATTTAGGGTTTGAGTGAGATCGAATAAAGAAATTGGAAAGAGGAATGGTAGTAGATCCAACACAGATCTGTGGGATTTTTAACAGATAGTAGGAATCCTGTTGGATTTGAATACAAATCTGTTAGAAAGATTGGACCAGCTAATAAAATATGCTTAAAATTTAAACAGATAAAAAAAATTAAATAGATAAAAAAAACAAACAGATAATAAAATTTGGACAAATATTTAAACAGATAGGGAAATTTTTGAACAGATATGAAAATTTTTGAATATATAGGGAAATTTTTTTGAACAAATAGTCGACGAAAGTCAACAGAAAAATTAAGGAGTAAAATTGAAAATAAAATGTTTTCCCAAACTAACAAAAGACTTCTCGTCAAACAATTTCACAAATTGTGGACCTTTCACTAACAAAAAAATATTAACTGAAATGCAAATAATGTGTATTTTCACATTTATTTGCATGCCATCAAAAAAAGAAAAAATTTCATAAAAAGATAAGCGTGACAATTCATATTGGATGTAATCATAGGAGTCTTTACTTGCTTGAGCATCTTTCTTTACAAAACAATCTAAAAATTTTGCATCATATGCTAATAATAATTGATGATGGCAATTTTGTGCCCTAGAGAGAGATTGAAAATAAAATTTATTTAGGGCAAATCTAGATATTACCCCTTAGAGAACATGTTCACTACCACAACGAGATGAAACAAAAATTAGCTTCCACCCTCCACAAGAATCCTCTTCATATCCTCAACCAGCTCTTCCATCTGCTCCCTCGAATGCAATGGCGAAGGATACACGCACATGCAATCCAATGCCCCATCGCGTATAGTGTCAAATATAGCAATGGACGGCCCGACTCCGTGCACAGAAGCGCACCCCATGTAGTCTTTCAATCCGATCTCTCTGTGCATTTCACAAGAATGGTCGATCACAGGGTCCTCAAACACACAGATGAATGAAGTCCTCATGGACGATGAAGGAGTCAAACCAGGGTTGTCAATGACCTTGCACATGAGGAAATTAATGTCTGCCATGCCAGAGAAATGCTTATTGTTCTTCTTTGAATTCGCGAACGCATTGTATGTTCTCATTGCTAGATCCCAAAGCGTTTCTCCCCCTTTTATGTCATGTGTGTTTAGGGTGGCAGAGTGGTAAAACCCTGAATCATTCAGGTGCACCAAAATCAGTAGATCAAAGTATATAAGTTGGATGATATATTAAAGTATCAAGAAGTTAAGCCTTGTATGAAACACAAAAGTAAATAAAATGGTCTATTGTACTTTGCTATCAAGAAAGCCAACGATGCAGTGAAAATAGCTGCTGCCTAGCCTAAAAATAGTTTTACCTGCAAAACTTGATTAGGGCCCATTTGGAAAAACTTATTTGCAACATATTTTGCTTAAAATTTGAAATTTCATGCTTAAGCAGTTGCACATGGAAAAGTAAATGTTTTGGTAAAACTAGGGATGGCCATTTAAATCCAATCCACGGGAGCCCGCTCATACCCCCCGAATGGGGCGGATTTTACCCACCCGACACTTATGTGGGGCGGGAGTGAATTATGTTTTGGTCACCCGCAACGGGGGTGGGTTCGGGTTGGGTATCACTTCCTCCGATCCAAACCCAACCCAATAAAAGTAATAATATATAAATAAATAATATAATTAGATATAAAAAAATAATATTAAAAGTTTATGATTTTGTTTAAATATAAATAAATAATAATCTTAAAAGTCTCACTGTTTATATATATGAAGATAAAAAAATTATTTAGTGTGCTAAGAATTTAAATGATTTTTAATTTTTTGACTATTTGAAATGTGGTCAGGTATCCGCAGGTATCTGCGGAGGCAGGGATGAGGTTGAAAAATTCAAACCGCAGCGAGAGTGGAGCGAGAACGGGGGCGGGAAATGACAAACCCGCCTGTGGCCATTCCTAGGTACTACACACTTCGATGGGGACGGGGGCGGGGAATGACAAACCCGTCTCGTGGCCATCCTAGGTTAAACTTATCAAATTTACAATTTATTCGCTTTTTCAGCTCAAAACCAGCTTTGCAATTTCATGCTTGAGCAGTTATACATTGAAAGGTAAATATTTGGTAAAATTAGCATGCTTTCAATTTATGCGCTTTTTTAGCTCAAAAAACTGCTTCTTGTCTTCTTTTTTTTTTTTTAAAAGCTGGGTTCAAGATTTTTTTTAGTTGCAAATAAGTTTTGCCAAACAGGCGCTAAACATGTTGAATGTTGCAGAGGTCTCAAACTAGAAGCGCCACAAGTGTCATAAAAAATTAAAAATGAAAAGAGTAATTTTAAGGAGTGAGAACAGGGGATTGACAGTGTGATAGAAGAGTAAGGTTGGGAGCGAGAGCGCGGCGGGAGTGGGCTGGAGACGGGTTCAAGAGTGAGGAGTGTGACCCAATAAGAGTTTTAGCTACTACCGTTATGAAAGCAACTATATATAATATATACTTTTAATTCAAAGCTGGGGAAAATGTCCAAGATTTAGTTGTTACATGCTTTGTGTAGTGAAACTCCCATTGTATCATTTCCCAAAAATGATATTTACATAATTAAAGTTCTCAATCTCCATCAACAGAGCTTTTCACATATCAAATCCAATCTAAATTTACAAGTTCATCTTTCTTTCATCATTTAGCATGACAGTAGGTGAAGTGGAGTACAAGAAGCTCAAGAAAGACTAAATTTAGGGCAAATTACATATATCTCCCTTGAAGTTTGGCTAAATTACAGATATCTCTTGAGGTTTCGGAAATTACATCCCGCCCCCTAAGGTTTGTATTTCATAACAATTTGCCCCTTGAGGTTTAAATTTCATAACAAATTACCCTCTAATTTGTTATGCAAATATAGCATTCAGGGGAGAATTTGTAATTTCTCAAACCTCAGGGGGTATTTGTAATTTAGCCAAACCTCGAGGGGGTATATGTAATTTGTCCCTAAATTTAAAAAAGTCATGATACCTGGACATTGGCATGATTATAGAAAAACTGATAGAAATCTTCTATAATTATATTTCTAGTATTATTATAGTCTTATTTTATTATTATTTTTATGTTTTCTAGGATTTTAAGGTTAGGGATATTTTAGTAATTTTATATTTACTGACATGAGATGTATTATTATAGTCTTATTTTATTATTATTTTTATGTTTTCTAGGATTTTAAGGTTAGGGGTATTTTAGTAATTTTATATTATTTTTATGGTCTTATGGATCAAATTTTTTAATTAGTTTTTGTTTTTGTTTCCTATTTGGTCTTAAATTAGTTCTAGAAATTAAAGATATTTTAGTAGTTTTCTTTTTTTATTGTAACTAGCTTAGGAAATCTCCTAATCCTATATAAAGTCATATAATACTTATAATTTAAGGGAGTTGATATTTTATAGAATTTTGAGAGTTTTGAAGCCTCTTTTGGTTTGCGTGATGTAACCCTAACCTTAGTTGTGATGCCTAAGAGATTCTATAAATGATTTCTAAAGTTGCGTTTGATAGAGTTTTCTAAATATAATTTGATAATAGAGTTTTATTTTGAGTTTGTGGGTTTTGGAATTATGATTTGAGTGTGAAAAATTTATTTGGTGAATGAGTTTTGAAAAGAGTTTTAAATTAAATGTGAAATTTTTGATGTGACACGTGATATTTGATACAAAAACTTACAATTCATTACCAAATATACAACTCAAAATCTCATAAAAAAATTTTAAAAAATTCCGAAATTTTTTTATTTAAAATATAAAAAATAACAAGTGCCAATTGTTAAAAAAAAAAATTAAAAAAAAAATATTCACTATTCTGGTCAACTAGCGGATGTTCGGGAAGACAATCGGCCGGACGTCTAAGAGGACAACCGGTTATTCCAAATTTTCCTGCCTTGGACAAAGTTCTCAAAAGTGAGTGTAATAGCATGCAATCAAGATTGAGACACCAATCAAGTTCTCACAGAACCGTCCATAATTGTCCTACATCAATAAGTGAACTTGAGTCCCTAACATTAAGATTGAGACACCAATCAAGTTCTAGTTAGGTCCTCCTTGGCTTACACCAATCAAGTTCTTTGTTGACTTTATGCCTCCTAATTTAAGACTAGATTTTCTGTTTTTGTCCCAATAGACACTTCTCCCACTGATCATCAGGCAGGCCTTTAGAGGAACGAGCTGCAAGCAATCAATCCAGCAGCTGCCAATGCCCCGCATAGTCCAATACCTCTTGACTTGCAACCCTGCAAAATTTGTAACCATAGTCTTGGTGCCCAAGTTTATGCATTCATTTTGTTTTTCTTTTTTTAACAGGAGTATCAAAATTGAAAATGCACTTAACCTCCACCATGTCATATAGCCAATGTTCTTATATGATTTGTTTGACCCACGTGAGGCTTTCCGTGGG